CTCTCTGCAACCTCTTTTACAAGGGCACTAATGTCATTCTTGAGGACTCTACCCTTATGGTCTAATCACCTGAAGTTGTACCTTCAAATACTATCACATTAGGGATTAGATTTCAACAAAGCAATTTGTGGGGTGGGAGGCACACATATTCATAGTCTGTGATCAAATTCAGTCATTTATATACACACACACACACAAATGACCAATAAACACATGAAAATAAACTCATTAATTGCCAGGGAAATACAAACCAAAAATACAATGTGGCATCACCCCATACCCATTAGGATGACTACTATCAAAACAAATAGAAAATAACAAAGGTTGGCAGAGTTGTGGGATAATCGACTCTTGTGTACTCTTGGTGGGAGCATAAAATGGGGGGGGGAATGTATGGTGATCCATTAAAAAACTAAAAATGGAATTACCAAATGATCTATTAATCCAATTCTGGGTGTGTACCCAAGAGAACTGAACGCAGGTTCTCAAAGAGATACTTACATGCCATGTTCATAACAGCACTATTTCTACTAGATAAAAGAAGCAACCCAGCATCCTTCAACAGAACATTGAGTAAATGTAGTATATAATTACACAATAAAATTTTGGTCTTGAAAAGGAAGGAAATTCTGATACATGTTAAAACAGGGATAAACCTAGAGGATTTTATGCTATGTAAAATAAACCAGTCACAAAAAAAGACAGATACTATGTAATTTCACTTATTTAGAATGCTCATAATCACAGAAATAAAGTACAATGGTGTTTGTCAGGGACTGGAGAAAGGAGAGAAAGAGGAGTTATTACTTAATGGTTATTTATAGGTTTTACAAGATGAAAAGTGTTCTGGAGATGGGTGGCAGTGATGGTTGATTATACTTAATACCACTCAACTGTAAGCTTCGAAATGATTAAGCTGGTAACATTTTACGTGTGAATTTTACAAAAAAAGTATATATTTTTTAAAGTGTTGATAGACATCAAATATGAATTTTTATCAGTAATTACATAATACAATTACTGGTGATTTTAATTTGTTATCAGTATCTTTTAGAGTGAAATTTTCTTTAATAATGCAGAACTCACGGTGAGCATTTTTTTTGTGAAGTAAAATTCTCTTTACAACGGATAACTTTTTAAGTAAAACCTTTTTTAGAAAAAGAAGATTCAACGGTGTAGAGACATCAAAAGGAAATGTCTAGTGGGAAAATTCTGTAAGAATTCTTACTTTAAGTCCATGAGACTTTTAATAAATTAAAACGTTTGATTTAAACTTGGTGGCAAGACCATTTGATTACTTTGTTACCAGAAGAAAATAATGACTTGCAGCCTTTGTACTAAACCCGCTGATATAATTATAAAATAAGTCGCCAGAATAAAGCAATACGCGGAGGACTTTCCGAAATAGCATTCGGTAGTATCACACTGGACCTCTGGGTGCCGCTGTCGGTCAGATCGATGTTGAGAGTGACGCAAAGCAATCCAGGGGCGATTCTGACGCCGCCATCCCTGCAGACTCTGGAGAAAGACAGCAGAAGACAAAGCATGCCACCTCTTCCGCAGTCTTCCAGATACCTAAGCCAGGAACGTCAAGATGTTGAGTGACACCAAGGGAGGGTGTCACTCAACACTCGCACCCCTGTGATCCCGGAGCCACCCTGGGGAGATGTGTTTGGATCTGAGAAACCGCATTGTGAAGACCAGAAGTCGTCCCAGACAGGCAAGGACGCCCAGAGCAGGAAGTGCTGTTTCTCTCGTTGCTTTTTGTTCAGCCTGGTGAACTACGCAGCAAATGTGGCATAAGACTCCGGAAGAGACCGCCAAGGCTTTGAAAATGGGGGAGCTCCATAAAGATCTGCGTCTCGGTGACCAGGACCACGGGTGAGTGAAGCCCCTCTTGACTGTCAGCGAAGAGAGCAGGGACGAAGTTGAGAATGACAGGATAGATCTCGTAGGTAAACAAAGGAACACCTTAGGCTCCTTTAAATCTGAAACCTTTGCTGAAAATCCCATGGTTTTGTTTAGTGCTCCTTTCATCCTGAATAGAAATAACATGGCTTGGTTTTGAAAAATATGAAAAACAACAGGAGCAAAGTTGACTCTTAAACCACAACAGATTTGAACACTGCAAGCAAGTCTCTGCAAATACATTAGACAAGTATCCACAATCATGTCTCTGTCCCATTGCCCACTCCCAAGTGAAACAAAGTAGAGGCAGTAAATACTTGTTTGCTATGGGAAACCTATGCCTGGACCAGGGGAACAGGACTACTATCTCTTGGTGGTGGGGAGACAGCAGAGCAGCTCAGGGCAAGGTGTGGGTCTCAGGTGTCAGTCAGTCTTCCCATACCTCGCCACAGGAGTACAGCAGCGTCTACCTGCAGAATTGCTCTCCATCTCTTCCTCTGCATGCTTCAGGTGACCCCTATTGACCTATATGACACCCTTTAGGTAAGTTTTCTCACAGTTTCTGTAAGATCTCACAGAATATATCTTCCCACCAATAACAGCAGTATCATTTTTTATTTTAAAGGGGAACCCTTGTATTGGGTGGTAGAAGAGAAGACTGGAGGGAGTTTTAAGGGTCCATTTCAGAATCCTGGTTGGAAGGGAGGTTGGGAATAATGCAGGTGACTCAACTGGGTGTTTAGTCCTATTAGAGTTAGAACTATGGTTTCCCTAATCAAAACATCAGTACTCAAATCTGCTTAACTGCAGAGATAAAAAATATTGTGCTGAGAAACACACACACTGCCAATGATTAATCACTAAGAATTACTATATAATCCTTTGCAAATTACCAGCAGATAGAATTCTGAGAGTAGAGCCTGAAATATATTGTCACCAGAATCATTGACAAGAACAAGCTGTCCCTTTCCCCCAGAGCAAGCATCACCCTAAATATCATCCCACATCAATAAAAAATGCTCTGGTTGCCCAACCTTCTACATGGTCAAGCAGACTAGGAACACTTCTCAGATCTTCATCACCCTTTAGACCCTATCCCTCCTGATTTGTGAAAGATGATCTGGAGCTGTCATCTGATATGTGAGTGAGCACAGAACACAATGGGGTTAATTGCAACCTACCTTTGAGCTGACTCTCTAGTCAGGATGGGTCTGGATTCAGTGTTATCCTTCACTTTCCTGTGTTGGTGGATGACCACGGTGAGAAATCATAGAGGGCACTATGCTGGGAGCTGTAGCCAGAAGTCAAGGCCTTCTTCGATGCTATCGCCCAGCCACCTGGACACCGTGTGGAGCACAATGTCTAGTGATCATTCAGGTTTACCTGGCGGTGGCCCTGATCTCTAGGCTCTCCCTCCTTGCAGTTACTCTCATCATCAGCCTGCAGCTCTGACTGTCTCCAGCCCTGCTTCAGCCTGGTCTCTGAGCCGCCTTCATGAGCATGCTCTCTTCCTACAATCTGCATGTGGCTTCAGAGAAGGCAAGATCTTAATTTAATGTAATCACATTTATTCAAGAAACATCTTTCAACTGGAAATTCTTTATAATACCAGCAACGAAGCTTTCAACTGGAAATTCTTCATAATACCAGCAATTCTTCATAATAACATTGGATTCAAATGTATGCATGTGAGTTTTCACTGTTATTCCATAAATATCATTCCTGTTTGGTTTTTGTTGTTGAGATGGGAAGAGTTCTACAAGTTAACTTTCTAGTTTCTATGTATATTTTGATTTGTTTCATTAGTCTGGACAATTCCTTTGGGGAATAGTTTGTACCTATTGATGTATGTTCTGAAAAGTTATGTTCCTCTAAAGAATCCTTTCTTTGCAATACTGAAAGAGATTCACTACATCTTTAAGTTTCTGCCATTGGACTCTATCTATATGTCTTTGAGAGTTGGAGAAACTATTAATTTGTCTATACAAAAACAGAAATTCTGGCCCAACTTGTTTCTCAATGCAGAGGACATTAATTCTTAACTTCCGAGTAAAGACAAATTACTCTAAGCATGAGAAAATTTATATAGTAACCTTTTACTAATTTTGCAATAAACAAGAAAAAAGAATGCAATTTAGCTTTAAAATCCTACTACTGTGTTTAAGAAAACTAATTTCTTGGGGTTCTGTCATTGTAAGAGAACACACACACACACATATATAATAGCCTGCCTAAAAATAAAGATGTGGCCCTTTTTTTGTCAGTTTTGAAGAATAATCACACTGTCTTGTGCCTCTTAAATTTGAAGTCTAAACTATCTATTCATTTGATGTTTTTTCCTGTGAAATTCCAAGCTCCCAGTGTTATTAAAAATCCATTACCTTTGAGTGAAAGGTTTTTCTTTAAGATTCACATAATATATAACACTTCAGGAAAAGAGGAAAAATTAGGATGGGGCAAAACACATCCTCCAAAATTCCAAAGTTTCTGATAAATATTCAGGACACGGTGGGAAGGAAATGGAAGGTAAGTGGTCAAGATACACTACAAAAGTGGAGGGTGGAGAGGTGATTTTTGTCTCCTTTGTGATATTCCCTGAATAGCAACAGGAAAAGCAGGTAGCTTGACAGCCCTGGGGTTCTGCTGTATACTGCAACTTAGCAACATTTATATATGATTAATTCCGTGAACACAGTAGTTTTTTCTTTTTCATACTAATTTATTAAAGTTAAGTATTCCAGAATGCTTATTTTTTTCCTTAACAATAAACCGAGGTGTAAGAAAAGTGATCAGATAAAAAATGAGTCTTATCCAGGAGTGCAGTAACTGGTTAAAGACTCTGGGCGCCGCTCTTCACCAGCCTGGGAGATACTGGCTGCGCGCACAAACCCCCAAGAAAAAGACCAGGAAAGGGAATAAAAGCTGCTTACAACCTTCATTTCCGCCAAATTGAAAGCAATCTCCCTGAGGCTTCCCAGATGCAATCTTTGGACGACTCTCCATTCTGAATTCAGAAAATTCTCATAACTGAGGCACCCGAAAAAAACAACAGAAAAACAATATCCTTGGGAAAACTACGAAGGGCGAGAGCAATGGCGATTTGGGCGAAGCTGCCCGGCTGCCGCCAGCTGGTTCTGCTGTGCCTTTTTCTGGAGCTGTTGGAAGCCCAAACAGGGAAGATCCTCTACTCTGTGCCAGAAGAGACAGACAGAGGTTTCTTCGTGGGCAACATCGCCAAAGACCTGGGGCTACAGCCACAGGAACTGGCGGAGCGCGGAGCCCGCATCGTCTCCAGAGGTAGGACGCAGCTTTTTGCTTTGAACCCCAGAAGCGGCAGCTTGGTCACCGCGGGCAGGATAGACCGGGAGGAGCTGTGCGCTCAGAGCGCGCGGTGCCTAGTAGATTTTAACATCTTAGTAAAGGATAAAATGAAGCTTTTCCCTGTCCAAGTGGAAATAATTGATATTAACGACAATACTCCCCAATTCCAGTTAGAAGAAATAGAGTTTAAAATGAATGAAATAACCACTCCGGGGACTAGGATCCCTTTGCCTTTATGCCAAGATCTTGATGTGGGTGTGAATTCGCTCCAGAGCTACCAGCTCAGCTCCAACCCCCATTTCTACCTGGATGTGCAGCATGCAGCTGACGGAACTCAAAACCCAGAGATGGTGCTGCAGAGTCCCCTGGATAGGGAAGAAGAAGCTGTCCACCACCTTATTCTCACCGCCTCCGATGGGGGAAATCCAGTCCTTTCTGGAACCCTCCGCATTCGCATTTGGGTGGTGGATGCAAATGATAACCCTCCAGCATTTACTCAAGCACAGTACCACTTGAGTGTACTGGAGAATGTACCTCTGGGCACTCAGCTGCTGGTGGTGAAAGCCACTGACCCAGATGAAGGAGCCAATGGGGAAGTAACATACTCGTTTCACAATATAGACCACAGAGTTGCCCAAATATTTCAGTTGGATGCTCACACAGGAGAAATATCAAATAAAGAACCCTTGGATTTTGAAGAATACAAAACCTATCCAATGGAAATTCAAGCTCAGGATGGTGCAGGCCTCATGGCCAGAGCTAAGGTGCTAATCAAAGTTCTGGACATAAATGATAATGCGCCAGAGGTCACCATCTCCTCTGTGACCACTGCAGTTCCAGAAAACTTCCCTCCTGGAGCAATAATTGCTCTGATCACTGTGCATGACCAGGACTCTGGAGATAATGGTCACATTACATGTTCCATTGCTGGAAATCTACCCTTTAAATTAGAAAAGTCAGTTGATAATTATTACCGTTTAGTGACAGAAAGATCACTGGACAGAGAACTTTCCTCCATGTACAACATCACAGTAACAGCAACAGATCAGGGAACTCCAGCTCTTTCTACTGAAATGCACATTGCATTGCAAGTGACAGATATCAATGACAACCCCCCTGTATTCCCCCAGGACTCCTATTCCACCTACATTCCAGAAAACAACCCCAGGGGAACTTCCATCTTCTCCGTGGCAGCTCATGATGCTGATAGCAATGAAAATGCACAAGTCACTTACTCCCTGGCAGATGATACCATCTGGGGAGCACCTCTGTCCACCTATGTCTCCATCAATGCAGATACTGGCATCTTGTATGCACTGCGATCCTTTGACTATGAGCAGTTCCGGGACCTAAAACTGACAGTGATGGCGCTTGACAGTGGAGATCCACCGCTCAGCAGCAACATGTCACTGAGCATATTTGTTCTGGACCAGAACGACAACATACCTGAGATCCTGTACCCTGCACCCCCCACAGATGGTTCCACAGGTGTGGAGCTGGCACCCCGCTCCGCAGAGCCTGGCTACCTCGTGACCAAGGTGGTGGCGGTGGACAGGGACTCGGGCCAGAACGCCTGGCTGTCCTACCGCCTGCTCAAGGCCAGCGAGCCAGGGCTCTTCTCAGTGGGGCTGCACACGGGAGAGGTGCGCACTGCGCGTGCCCTGCTGGACAGAGATGCGCTCAAGCAGAGCCTGGTGGTGGTGGTGCAGGACCACGGCCAGCCCCCTCTCTCGGCCACCGTGACACTTACTGTGGCCGTGGCTGACAGCATCCCAGGCATCCTGGCTGACCTAGAGAGCCTGGAGCCCTCTGCTGACTCTGATGACTCTGGCCTCACTCTGTACCTGGTGGTGGCGGTGGCCGTGGTCTCCTGTGTCTTCCTGGCCTTTGTCATCCTGCTCATGGCGCTCAGGCTGCAGCGCTGGCACAGGTCACGCCTGCTCCGGGCTTCAGAAGGTGTATTGGCTGGCTTGCCTGCATCACATTTTGTGGGTGTGGAGGGGGTGCAGGCTTTCCTGCAGACCTATTCCCAGGAGGTCTCCCTCACCGCGGATTCACGGAAGAGTCACCTGATCTTCCCACAACCCAACTACGCGGACACGCTCATCAGCCAGGAGAGCTGTGAGAAAAATGATTTCCTGTCAGCCCCTCCATCTTCACTTGAAGACAAAAAGGAAACATTTTCTCAGGTAAACCTTTTGTAGTCAAATTTAGATAAAAATAATTCCTGCATTTACTGGCTTTCATTCCTTACTACTGACCAGTTCTCTTTTTCATATATCTCAGTGGATTTCTATCTATAAAAGTCATTATTACATGTTTTTATCTGCATGTATTTATAATTGTTCTTTCACTGAAAAGGAGGCTGTAATTAAACAGAATGTGGCTGGCTGGGGATGAAGAGTGTGTATGAGGTGCTATCTCTTGTGGAAAAAACACTGCATCAGAAACAAGGTCTGACTTATAAACATTTTCTTCATTGCCTCTAGCCAAATACATTTTATTTTTCTAGGTTCGCCACTCTCATATCTGGTAAAGATAGGGTTTGATTAGAAAAGATCCACTAACATTTATGTGACTAAAATTATTTTAAAATTTCCTTAAGTTTTAAAGTTGTATATTGTTTTCAATGCCTCCTAGTTTATCCCTACATTTAGTGTTGATGTCCAGATGTCTCTGTGTAGATACTGTTTTATCTGGGGACACTTGAAAAGATAAAATTTACCTAAAGTATTACGTACATTTCAATTCTGGATTTTTTTTCAGCTCTTAAAATTTAAGTTTTTGCTTCTGTCTATATAGATGAACTAGATTTACCTAAGAAAACATAGAGATTACCAAATCAGATGATTTTTAAAATCTATCTATATTCTACTAACAAGACAAAAACTTGAAACAGGATTATACACACATATACACACTGAAGTGGTCATGTCAGTGTAGTAACAACATAGAATCTAAGTCAACAAACAATAATGGTACATATTTTAAATAAAAGGATCTTAATAATTAAAGGAACAGTGATCAAAGGTATGTGTAAACTAAAAGCACCCATCACCAAACAGTATTGCTTTGAAAATGATACAAGATTTTAAGAAATTCCATAAAAAATAATAGAGACCACAGGCAAAATATTGCTAAGCTAGAGACAATTTAAATGACAGAATCTGTAAGTTTGATCTAATATACCTGTATGGAATCTTGTACATAACAAATAGCAGTGTTTTACGTGATCATGTGGAAAACCTCAAGCAATTAACTAAATGGACATTACCAAAAAAACATAGGTACAAATTTCATAGTATCAATAACATATGCCTTATAACATATACTTAAATCACAAAGCTGGGTGTGGAGGGAAACAGGGAGAGATTGTTGCTTGCATTTAAAAGCTGAATAAAGTTGGACTATCTAATGTAAATATGGAGACTATAGCTAATAAGACAGGTGTGCAACTGAAATTTGCTAAGTGAGAACTTAACTCATCAAAAAAATGTGAGCTGATGGTTATTAATTACCTCAGTGAGTAAAATCACAGGTCATAACATATTGTATATTTAAATACCATACACTTTTTGTCAATTATACCCCAATAAAAATGGAAAAATGACAAAGCAAACATTTAAAAATAGTAAAGAGGAACAAAGTTTGGCTACCTAAACTCCCTAAAATTACCCTTGGATTAAAAAAAAATCCAATGGAAATAAAATTACTTAAAAATGAAAATGAAGGCCCTCCCTGGTGGCGCAGCGGGTTAAAGCACTGCACTGAGAAGCTAAAGCCACTTCCCCATGAGTTCGATCCCCCCCTGCCCCGGAGTGACCACATGGCGTGGCAGACCTCTCCTGACCCGCCCGCTGCTCCCCTCAGCAGTGTACTTCGTCGATCTGCCTGTTGTGCTCCCCGCTCTGTCTCTGGTGAAGCCTCTCGCCGCCCCTGAGCCTCTGGCCTGTACCCCAGTTCTGTATGTACAAATAAATAAATCTTTAAAAAAAATGAAAATGAAAATATTTAAAATTTTTAATATTTAATTTAATAATTTTTTTAGATTAAAATATTATTTAGTAAAAATTGTAGAATGCAGCTAAAACAGTACTTAGGGGTAATTTGTAGACAAATTAAAGACCTAATAATTTAAAATAAGTGAATTTAGTAGCTTGTGACTCAGTAAACAAGGCAAGAAGCATAATGCCAAGCATAAACTTAAAGACAATAATAGGAAAATAACAAAGACAAATTTAAATTCGTGAAGTGCAAACAAGGAAGAATTCTACTGATGAAGCAATGGGAGCAGACAGTAAGGTCCTATTGAAACTAGTGAGGAGAAAACAAAAATTCTGTCAAGTTAAATGCTGGAACTAAGTAGGCAAGGCAGATGTCATGACTTTTTAGAGATTCTAAAGAAAATTCCAAAATCAAGGACCTGGTAAAGAAAAATGAGAAGCAAGAAAGACTGGGAAAATACAAAATAATTGGATATGATGCAAGATATCAGGAAAGACAAAGAAAATAAGATAAATCGCTAGAGAACTGCAGTGAAAGATACTGAGCAGTATTTAACAAGACTCAAAAGTGTCACAAAATATTGATGAAAAGATGTCTTTAAAACAAACACTATATGATTCCTCATATATGAACTTCCTAGAGTATTCAAATTCATGGAGACGGGAGGTAGGATGGTTGTTGCCATGGGGAGAGGGGAAAGAAGAATAGGGGTTAGCATTTAATGAGTGAGAACATTCTGTAGATGGAGAGTGAGGATAGTTGCACAGTAATATGCAGTAATATGTGTATACTTAATGCTGCAAGTTGTATGCTTGAAATGGTAAACTTTACGTATATCTCACCACACACACAAAAACAAGTCCATTTATCTACTCGTAGATCATGTTAAAATACACAAGAGAAGCCATGTGGAAAGGGAGAGGGCATGAGCTTACACAGAGAGTCATCCAGATGTGTCAGCATACTACCTCTGCCAAGTCCCTGGATGATGTCACAGGGATAACCGCCAGTAAGACCATTAGAAGTGAAATCACCAACACAGATTGAAGATTACTGCTGAACAAATGAAACCAGGTCATTTTAAAACATTATATTTGGGGATGGTTTATTACACAACCACTTTGCATAAATTTGGCCCAACAATTCTATTTTCAGGTTAATGCTCTACACCTAGAGAGAAGTATACTTGATGAAATGCCCAGTAAATGTCACTGCCTTTATGCCTACAATAGTATGGGAGGGAGGGAAGTGATATAAAAGTTTAAATTACTCCTAATCTTTTCACAGATACATAAGAACATAAAATTTAACATTTGTCACATAATGAAATGTTGCACCATTTAAAATGAACATCAGTGAAAATAAATCATGTAAGGGTATACGATTTGAGGTGAGTGTGTTGCAGAATACTGTTTTGTGAATAGTTTATTATATAACAGTAATAACTGAAGCATTTTGCAGACAAATATTTGCATGTATTTGAAATAGACCAACAAAATATGAGTACATAAATATACATATGTTAATAATACCAATGGTAAATATACATATGTTAAAAATCATATTAGTAGTGAATATACATATGTTAATAATACCAGGACAAAGAATCTCATGTGCCTCCTGAAATGATGCACTAAGAAAACTACAACATCATTTCTATAGTGTTCCTGTTCAAAGCCACATATCTGATTCTAATCATGGAAGAGAGGCATCAAACAAAGCCTAATGAGAGATATATTACAAAATAACTGGTGTGTACTCTTCAAAAGTATAAAGTCATGAAATATTTTTTGAAAGTCTGATGAACTTTCTCAGTTTGAATGGCAGTAAATAAAACAAATGCAATGTGTGATTCCTGGATTGGGTCCTAGGCTAGAATTTTTTTTGGTTAGGCATTATTGTGACAACTTGAAAAATTTGTAAGATAACATAACAATGCCAATTTACTGATTTTTGTCTTTTTTCATAATGAAAGAAAGTAATTATTTTCAAGAAAGACATATTGAAGTATTTTGAAATTAAGGAGCATCATGTTTATAGCTTGCTCTGAAACAATTCAGACAGAGTCAGAGACAGAATGTGAAATCCAAACATTAACATTTGGGATGGTATGCATGAAGAGTATATGGGAAGCCTTTGTACTATTTTACACAGCCTCACTGTAAATCTAAAAGTATTTAAAAGAAAATACTTAAAACTGATCTCAAATGTGGCAAAATACTAAAATTTGATCAGTGTTAAATGGTATGTACACAGATCCTCACTACATTATCTTTTATGCTGGTCTGTACAGATTTTATTTTTGCCATAAAAAATGTATTTTGTATAAGTACACAAAGGTGAAACAAATAAGAGGATATTCACCGTATTGTATTGTAGATATTAGAAAACACATCTGAAAAAGGACTTGGCAACCTCAAACAACTTTAAGCTATTAATTCTCTGTGGTTAAAAAAAGGAAAGGAAAGGAAAGAAACAACCTCTTCCTACTCTTATTTTACCAATAGAACCAGCTTTGGTTTCCATAATATCCCAGGCTGCCTCTCACTCCCAAGGATTCATACTAAGGTTCTTAGCCGCTTTCTTGAACCAGTTCTACCTTTTAGAATTTAGCTTCCACCACCTGTAAAAGTCTTCCAGAACTCCAAATCTAGGCTGGCTGTCCTTCCTGTGTACTCCCTCATTGTCCAGTGTTTCTCCCAGTCATAGCCATTATCATACTCTACTTTAATAGTTACTTTCCTTATATCCTGCTTCCTGAGAGCAGGGCTGTACTGTGTTCATCAGTTTCACCATTTCTGTCTCCAGCATCAATCACACAGTGTTTCAGACACATGATTGCTGCTGGATTAAGTTGTCTGATGAACCAGTATTTAAGTACAGGTTTTGAAGTTAAATGCTAAGCCATGAAATACAGAAATTCAAAATGTTTATAACCTTAGAGGACAAAACAGCTAATATCAAGACTGAGGAAAAGACTCTTACCTTGAGAGAGCTACTTCTAAGGTCTATCGAACTGTAAGATTCTTCAAGGCAACTTGACAGAGGCAAGGCTAACATAAACAAGAAATAACGTGAGATTGCAAGCGAGGATGCAGAAATTACTTAAGCCTCTGAGCGTCGCTGTTGACCACCTAAGAAGTAAAAACCGGCCAGACAGCCAGCCCAGCAATGCGACTCCCCACCACAAAAAAGGCTGGGCATTTTGCTCGGAACACTTCCGAGCGACTGAAAATTCAACCCAGCAGCGCACTGGATCTGTCTGTGGTGACCTAGGTCCCGTGAATCCAGGTCATCTCGGACCCTAAGGAATCCCGCACTAAATGCTAGAAGTTGCCTGGGAGAGAGGACAGCAGCAGAAGAGAAATGGCGGCTGCACAAAAGTTGCCACAACGTAGAAGGCTGGCCCTGCTGTGCCTTCTTTGGGCGGCCCTCTGGAAGGCCGGAGCTGGGCAGTTACGCTATTCTGTGCCAGAAGAGATCGACAAAGGCTCCTTTGTGGGCACCATCGCCAAGGACTTGGGTTTGGAGCCGCCGGCACTGGCGGAGCGCGGAGCCCGCATCGTCTCCAGAGGTAGGACGCAGCTTTTTGCTTTGAACCCCAGAAGCGGCAGCTTGGTCACCGCGGGCAGGATAGACCGGGAGGAGCTGTGCGCTCAGAGCGCGCGGTGCTTGGTGAATTTTAACATCCTACTGGAAGATAAACTGAATATTTATTCGGTGGAGGTGGAAATAACAGATGTTAATGATAATGCCCCTCGCTTTGGAGTAGAAGAACTAGAACTAAAAATCAGTGAAACAACCACACCGGGATTCCGTATTCCTGTAAAGAGTGCGCACGATGCGGATGTCGGAGCAAACACCCTCCAGAAATACCAACTTAACCCGAATGAACACTTCTCCCTGGACGTGCGAAAGGGATTGGATGGGAACATGTATCCGGAGTTGGTGCTGGAGCGCGCGCTGGACCGCGAGGAAGAGGCCGTTCACCATCTGGTTCTTACTGCTTTGGATGGGGGCAACCCGTTGCGATCTGGCACCGCCCGCATCCGCGTGGCAGTCCTGGATGGAAATGACAATGCGCCTATTTTTACACAACCCGAGTACCGTGTGAGTGTTCCGGAGAATATGCCTGCAGGCACCTGGATACTCACGGTGACCGCCACTGATGCAGATGAGGGATACAACGCTCAAGTGGCATATTTTCAAGAGAAAACCCCTGAAGGAACCTCAGACATATTTGAGCTTACATCGACCTCTGGAGAAATTACACTTAAAAAAAGTCTAGATTATGAGAACGCCAAATACCATGAAATTGATGTTGAAGCCCAGGATGGGCCAGGCCTTCTGTCCAGAGCAAAGGTTACTGTCACAGTTCTGGACGTGAATGACAACGCTCCAGAATTCTACATGACCTCTGCTAGTAGCTCAGTGCCTGAAAATTCTCCTCCAGGAACTGTAATTGCACTTTTTAATGTGCATGATGGAGACTCTGGACAGAATGCATTTATCACATGTTCACTCTTGGATGACCTTCCTTTCAAGTTAGAAAAATCAGTGGACAATTACCACCGACTGGTTACAACCAGAGCCCTGGACAGGGAACAGTCTTCCTCTTACAATATCACTGTGATCGCTAAAGATGGAGGGACCCCATCTCTGTCTACAAATGCTTACATTTTGCTACAGGTGACAGACATCAACGACAACCCTCCCACCTTCCTCCAGACGTCCTACTCCACCTACATTCCTGAAAACAATCTCAGAGGCTCCTCCATCTTTTCCATGACAGCACATGATCCCGATTGCGACGACAATGCCCAAATAACTTATAACTTGGTGGAGGATACCCTGCATGGGGCACTGCTGTCGTCCTACATCTCCATCAACTCTGACACGGGAGTCCTCTATGCTCTGCGTTCCTTTGACTATGAGCAATTCCGGGAACTGCAGTTACAGGTGACAGCCAGCGACGGTGGGGACCCTCCACTCAGCAGCAACGTGTCACTGAGCCTGTTTGTGCTAGACCAGAATGACAACACACCTGAGATCCTGTACCCTGCCCTCCCCACAGATGGATCCACAGGTGTGGAGCTGGCACCCCGCTCCGCAGAGCCTGGCTACCTGGTGACCAAGGTGGTGGCGGTGGACAGAGACTCAGGCCAGAACGCCTGGCTGTCCTACCGCCTGCTCAAGGCCAGCGAGCCAGGGCTCTTCTCAGTGGGGCTGCACACGGGTGAGGTGCGCACTGCGCGCGCCCTGCTGGACAGAGATGCGCTCAAGCAGAGCCTGGTGGTGGTGGTGCAGGACCACGGCCAGCCCCCACTCTCGGCCACGGTCACGCTCACCGTGGCCGTGGCCGACAGCATCCCAGACGTCCTGGCTGACCTGGGCAGCATCAGCACCCCCGCCGACTCTGAGGATTCCGACCTGACCTTGTACCTGGTGGTGGCGGTGGCCGTGGTCTCCTGCGTCTTCCTGGCCTTTGTCATCGTGCTCATGGCGCTCAGGCTGCGGCGCTGGCACATGTCACGCCTGCTCCAGGCTTCAGGAGGCGGGTTGGCAGATCTCCCTGCCTCGCACTTTGTGGGCGTGGACGGGGTGCGGGCTTTCCTGCAGACCTACTCGCATGAGGTCTCCCTCACTGCAGACTCAAGGAAGAGTCATCTTATCTTTCCACAACCCAATTATGCAGACACGCTCATCAGCCAGGAGAGCTGTGAGAAAAGGGATTTTCTATCAGAACCTCAATCTCTACTTGAAGATAAAGGAGAGGAAACATTTTCTCAGGTAAATTCTCTTTAAACTCAATATACTCATGAGCTAATTTGCTAAAATAAAAATTCAATATGCTTATCAGCTAATTTGCTAAAATAAATGAATGTATTTGATACTTAGTTGCCTCCATTGTTTACCTTACCTCTCTTACTTCTCATATTTCCTGTGTGTATATTCAATATTGAGGGCACGACTCCTGGTGAATTATTTCTTGGAAGTTCTAAGTGTTTGTACCCCATAAGGGGGAAGAAGAGCTAAGTCTTGTAATTAGTATAAATTAGGATTTTTGCCAGCTAAGATGATATTTAGGTTATCAAAAGAGCACTGTATTTAACAACTGGAAAATTTGGCTTCTTATTCTTTCTTTCCCAATTCCTGGGCAACTCATCTCATCTACTTGCATCAACAAATCTTTCTTCAAAACTTAAAGGTTGAATTTTGTGTTTACCAACGTCTTCCTCCTTTAAAATTTAAAGCATTTATGCTTTGTTTTATGCATTATATTAGACTTTGAAACACTAAATAGCTAGCTCCTTCTCAGTCTTAATGCTTTTTCTTCAGTTTGGAAGTAAAGTCCTTCATGTTATTTTATTGGCATGACTTTTCCTATTAGGATATAAATTTAGAAATATATATGCTTCACCATGTTCCAGAAAGGTATGTCATGATATTTCTACTTAGTTAAAAATTTTATTAGTGTCTAAAGTACCTCTGTGCTTCTTTCAGTAAGGATCAAATTAACATTTATTTACACTATAATACATGAGTAGTATAATAATAAAACTGCTTCTCTTGACTGTCAGTTTTTGCTTTTCTCACATCTGGAAACCATGCTGCCTTTTTTAAAAAAAATATTTATTTATGCATACAGAATTGGGGTACAGGCCAGAGGTGTGGGGGTTGGGGTGAGAAGAGTCACCAGAGACAGAGTGGGGAGCAGAACAGGCAGATGTACCAAAATACACTGATGAGGGAAGCAGCGGGCAGGTCAGGAGAGGTCTGTGATGCCATGTCAGCCACCTCCCTGGCCAGGGATCACACTCAGACTGCAGAGACTGTGATAGCTTCATAGTGCTGTGCTTTAACCCCTTGAGCCACCAGGGAGGGCCCCATATTGCCTTTTTTTTTTTCTTTTAAGATTTATTTATTTATGCATAAGGGCTACAGACCAGAGGTGCAGGGGCAGTGAGATTCACCAGAGTCAGAGTGGGGAGTGGAAAAAGCAAATTGACAAAGTACACAGCTGAGGGGAGCAGTGGGTGATAGAGGAGAGGTCTGCCACACCATGTGGGTCACCTCTGGGGCTGCGGATTGAACTCGCACTGAAGCTGCTGTGGCTGGCAGTGGTGTGTCCTAACCCTCGGCAACACCAGGGAGGGCCCCCATATTGCCTTTTTAATGTCTAAAAATATTATGTACCATCAAAGGACTCAGAGGTCATATCAAATAGTTGCCCCCAAAGCTCTCCTTATGCATGTTCTTTGTATAAAAATGTTTCTACTCCCTTAGTCCTGTCACAACCGCAGTTTTTCTTCTTCATTTTTCTTCCAGTGTTGGTTTATTTACTATGTTAATTATATGTTTAAAATGAGGACAATGATTATATTAATACCCTAGTAATGGGATCACTTTCATTTGTTTTGGAAACAACTATGTATAACTGAGTCAAGTATTTCATAGTACTGTCAACTTTCAAGGTCCTGTGAGCCTTTATCACTTTTAAGGGAAACTGAGGTGGGCATTCCACTGTGTTTATTATTATTACATAATTCTCTGTGGGATAATCAAAGTGTGAACCAAAAAGGTAAAAACAATACATTTTAGCATGTATGGTAACATCATAAGAATAAATGTTCTATGTGTCATGATTAAAATGACATTGTATTTTTGTTTTTTGTGATTATAGGGGAAAATTAGTATGGGAAAAGGGTTTCTGGAGCAACAAAGGTTTATCTCCATTAGTTTCAAATTTGGCCTTTAAAAACATCCTCACACTCTAGTTGTAAGCAAAATGAACTGTTTTCAGTACCTTGAAATTCTGTGATTTCACCTAGGCCTTTTGCTTGATCCACTGTGTGCATGTTTCTTGGAGAAGCCTTTACTAACATCCACCGCTGGGTCAAGGATGCCTCTCCACTGCCCTGGGCGCTGCTACTATGGCAGTCATCTCCGGGCACTGTAATTCCTTGCTTGCTTTTACATTATTTTGTGAAGAAAGCAGGTGAGCCCATATTGTTTACTGTAAATCCCCACCTATTGTGTGATATCCAATTACATGTGCGCTTAATTAATGGATTAAGTAATAAATACTTAAACTAAGATGTTAGGCTATTAAGGACAAACTTTTAGAGGTAAACCTATAACGGTAGCTGATAATTCCCATTTTGTTCAAACTTTGAACATTTCAAAACAGCAACTAAAGCAAGTTTGAAGCAATATTGGTGGCATGAAAGGTAATGCACGGCTTCCCCAGGAAAATAACTTCAAGTCATATATTTTAACATATAGCAATTCAATCACGTGAAATAAACATAAACAGTACTTCTGATACAATGACTTCAGGTATTAGGAAGTTTAAAAACAGCTCACTTGCCTTTGCCTGAGGAGGTGCAGTAAACGGTTAGACCTCTGAGCGTCGCTGTTGACCACTCCAGAAGGAAAACCAGTCCACCATTTCCTTATTCCTAAAAAGAAAAGATCCAGCAAATCAGACGCAGAAGATCGGATTCATCCTGTCCGTCAACCAGCTGGATGAGCCATGAATTGCCTGAGAACGTAAGACTGAAGGTCGTTGTGGAAAATTGGAACTGAACTCAGAGAAAATAATTCACCGTATAGGCAATGACCAAGATCCCGAGATTCCTGCTGTGCGCGCTGCTGGGAATGCTGTGCAACGCCGGTTTCGGGCAGATTCGCTACTCGGTTCTGGAGGAGGTGGCCAAAGGCTCTTTCGTGGGCAACATCTCTAAGGATCTGGGGCTGGAGCCCCGCGAGCTGGCGGAGCGCGGAGTCCGCATCGTCTCCAGAGGTAGGACGCAGCTTTTTGCTCTGAACCTGAGAAGCGGCAGCTTGGTCACCGCGGGAAGGGTAGACCGGGAGGAGCTGTGCGCTCAGAGCGCGCGGTGCCTGGTGAACCTTAACATCCTGGTTGAAGACAAATTGAAGATTTTAGAAGTAGAAGTAGAAATTAAAGACATTAATGATAATGCTCCTAATTTTCTAACAGAGGAATTAGAAGTAAAAATCGGAGAACTAACAGCTCCGGGTACCCGATTTCCACTTAAGACTGCCTTTGACCCGGATGTGGGCATGAACTCTCTGCAGAACTACCAGCTCAGCAATGATGACTTCTTCTCCCTGGCGGTGAAGAGCATCTCGGATGGGACTAAGTATCCAGAGCTACTGCTGGAACAGGCTCTGGACAGGGAGGAAAAAGATGTTCACCAGCTGGTCCTCATCGCCTCAGATGGGGGCGACCCTGTCCGCTCTGGCAACTTGCGCATCCAAGTGATAGTTCTGGATGCAAATGACAATCCACCAGTATTTACTCAGCCTGAGTATAGAGTTAGTGTTCAGGAGAACTTGCCGGTGGGCACAAGGCTGCTCACAGTGAATGCCACAGACCCAGATGAGGGATTCAATGCTCAAGTGTCCTATGTATTAGATAAAATGCCTGGGAAGATTGCTCAGATTTTCGATCTCAACCCAGTCACTGGTGATATATCAATATTAAAAAGTCTGGATTACGAGGATGCTGTGTTTTATGAAATTAAAATTGAAGCACAAGATGGTCCAGGTCTCCTTGCAAGAGCTAAGGTCCTAGTTACAGTTTTGGATGTGAATGACAATGCCCCAGAAGTTACAATCACTTCTGTCACAGGATCGATTCCAGAAGAGACTATTACTGGAAGAGAAGTTGCCCTTATAAATGTACACGATCGGGATTCTGGACAAAATGGGCAAGTAACCATTTTTGTCTTGGGAAATATGCCATTTACTTTAGAAAAATCAATAGGCCAATATTACCGCTTAGTGACAGCAAGATCCCTGGATCGTGAACAAAGGTCTGAATATAACATCACACTGAGAGCCACAGATCAGGGAAGTCCACCACTTTCCACAGACACTCATATCAGCCTGCATGTGGCAGACATCAATGACAATTCACCTGCCTTCACACAGGCCTCCTACTCTGCTTACATTGCTGAAAACAACCCGAGGGGAGCCTCCATCTTCTGTGTGACTGCCCAGGACCCTGACAGCATTGAGAATGCACACATCACTTATGCGCTGACTGAGGATACACTTCAGGGGGTTCCTCTCTCCACCTATGTATCCATCAACTCTGACACTGGAATCCTGTATGCGCTGCGCTCCTTTGACTATGAGCAGGTGAGAGACCTGCAGTTACTGGTGACAGCCAGTGACAGTGGGGACCCTCCACTCAGCAGCAACGTGTCACTGAGCCTGTTTGTGCTGGACCAGAACGACAACACACCTGAGATCCTGTACCCTGCCCTCCCCACAGATGGTTCCACAGGCGTGGAGCTGGCACCCCGCTCCGCAGAGCCTGGCTACCT